CTCTCTCTCTCTCTCTCTCTCTCTCTCTCTCTTGCCAGCTCACCATACTTCCGGTGATGTCAGGGTGTGTGGCATATGCTAATGAGCTCCTGCACCTCTTTTTCTATGAAATGACCTCTGCATATATCCTTTCTGTGGATGTGCATATGCCTTAATGTCCAAAGAATATTTACAGGCTGCACAATGTTGAAAACATTTATGATGCCCTAATACCACATTCTCCTTCTGAAAATCAGATCTTGTGGTGATTTCTCTTATGTTTCTGCCCCTTCTGTATCCAGTTTTTGGAGTCCCCGAACATCCAGCAATTCCTGACACCAAATGCCAGTGTCTATGAATTATGTAACTAATTTGTTTGGCCACTGGTGAAAGATCAAGAGCAAAAGACATACCCATAGCTCTTTGAGTACATTTATCCTGGAGCAGAGTCTTTCTATCAGTATGTGCTGCTCTTCTTTTAGCCTTTGACATTATGTCACTAGAATATCCTTGCTCTGTACATATGTAAAGCATCATCATCCAAGTACTTGTGGTAGAACAGGTGCATTAATAAAGACAAAAGAATTATTCAATCAAAACTATTAGGATTGGTGCTTTATAGATGGAGGCGGGGGGGGGGGATCAGCTTGGCTTTATCCAAGCTACCTTTAAATACGCTCACCATCCTGACCAGCTCACAGAAATTCCACATTAACTGCTAGAGCTCAGTGGCTAGAGGAAAGAAAGATCAGAACAGCCTTGTTGATACGTTAGAGCTTCAGCAGCTGTCTTGAACATGCCTCCCCTTCCAACCAGTACAATTTCCACCTTCATAAACAGATGCCCTGTAGCCTATAGGAGCTTCTTTGAAGGTACTCAAAAGCAGCAGAGAGTTTATGAAGGAAACCTTTTATTTACAGTATTTACTCTCTCCCAAATGGCACAGCTCTAGCATATATGCTGTGAGTGTGAGCTAACTACATTATTTACTGTAAGCCACTGAAGTAAAATGAAGAAGAAGAAGAAGAAGAGATTGGATTTATACCCCGCTCTTCACTACCCAAAGGTGTCTCAGAGCGGCTTACAAACTCCTTTCCCTTCCCCTCCCCACAACAGACACCCTGTGAGGTAGGTGGTGCTGAGAGAGCTCTGACAGAAACTGCTCTTTTTCAAGAACGGCTCTTCTCAGAACTATGGCTTGCCCAAGGTCATCCAGCCAGGTGCAAGTGGAGGAGTGGGGAATCAAACCCGGTTCTCCCAGATTTAGAGTCCGCGCACTTAACCACTACACCAAACATTAGCAGCTGTTCACACATAGTTGACTTAGATCTTACCAAGGTTGTCTCCACAGAAGTCTTGAGGTATTTTCTCCTTAGTTGCTATTACAAAAACCTGAACACATACATAGAGCTCTGAAATCTCTTGTACAACCCTACAGTATGGGAGCTTTAAAAGCAGCCATCTTATTTATGTATACCTCACCTTTTTCCCTAATGTTTAAAGAGGCTTCCGCTACATAGCTAATTTATATAGATATTTACGCCTTGCCTTTTCTTCTCAATGGGGACCCAAAACAGCTTACGACATCTTCGTTTTATCCACACAGCAACAATCCTGTGACATCCAGGGGCTTTCTCAGCATTATGCCCACCCCATCACACTTTCCAGTAGCAGTGACCAAGCTGATTTTAGTTATGGCCTGGGTTGTGGTAGGGTTGCCATGTCCCTCCTGGCCACCAGCAGGGGATGGGGGGGGGGGGGGGAGGGGTGCGCGGATGAGGTATCCAGGTTGGAAAACTCCTGGAGATTTCGGGATGAAGCCTGGGGGGGGGGGACAGGGACCTCAGTGAGGTACAATGCCATAGACTCCATCCTCTAAAGCATCCATTTTCTCCAGGGGAGCTGATCTCTGTAGTGAGATTCTGGGGGATACTCAGGTCCCACCTGGAGGTTGGCATCCCTAGTTGTGAGTGGTCAGTAAGACAATGTTATCTAATAACTGTGCTGGATTACATGCTGCTATTACAGAGACGCTTGGGAAGGTAGAATAGCAATCTGAGGTGATTTCTGCTACTTCCATCGTCCCATTCTCTTGTAGTGATTCACACCACTTCTTCCTTTCACAACACACACACACACTTATTGTGTCTTCTTTAGAAGGGCTCCATGCTTAGCGGCTTAGCTACAACAAGGAACATAACAAGGTTTACTGTAACTAGCCTTTGAGATTTTATTCCAGTTTTGTCTGAAGAAGTGTGTTTTTCACACAAAAGCTTACACTTTGAATAAAACTCTGTTGGTCTCAAAGGTGCCACTTGACTCACACTTTGTTCTGCTGCTTCGGACCAACATGGCTACCCCACCTGAAGATATTGGTTAATACAGCAAGGGACAGTAAAACTCTGCTGTAAAAGAGCTACAGATTCACACACCCAAAGCTTTACTGAACTCACAGACCATTTCTGTCAGAGACAGAGAAAGAATAATTTTATTTCTCTTCCTTAAACCAAAGAATCTCAGCCTATTGAAAGAACATTAGCTTGTCTCTTGGAATATTTCCCTGAATTCCCTCACAAGTCCCTGACCTACTATTCCCCTAAAGTAGCTCTATTCCTAACACTTTATTGGCCCTTGAACCCTATGTACCTATACTATAGATGTCTGAATTCTTTTTCTTTACTGGGCAAACCCTAACTCATCTCCCAGTAGTTCCCCCCGTTGCTTCCTCAAGTCCTATCTGAGGCCATGATCGACTCTCCCTCCACTTTCTCCCCCTTCCAGAGGTTCTGCAGGCTCTCACTGGTTGATGCTGGTATCTGGCTATTCCTCTGTAGGCAGGGATTTGCTGGGATGCCTGGAGGGTGGACCTAGTTTGGTGTAGTGGCTAAGACTCTAATCTGGGAGAACCGGGTTTCATTCCCCACTCCTCCACTTTGGTGTAGTGGTTAAGTGTGTGGACTCTAATCTGGGAGAACCGGCTTTGATTCCCCACTCCTCCACTTGCACCTGCTGATGTGACCCTTGGGTCAGTCACAAGCTCTGGCACAGCTGTCCTTGAAAAAGAGCAGTTTGTGTCAGAGTTCTCTCAGCCCCACCTACCTCACAGGTGTCTGTTGTGGGGAGGGGAAGGGAAAGGAGTTTGTAAGCCGCTCTGAGGCTCCAAGTGAAGGGCGGGGTATAAATCCAATCTCTTCTCTTCTTCTTCTATAGGCAGTCCCTCACACAGGACCTTTGTATATTATCAGGGCAATCGGAGTGGATTTTCCCCTCAACCTGTGCTGTAGGTCAGGCTGACCATATCCGCTTCCACACACCCTTGTTGTTCTATGGCAATAATTTGTGACTGGATGCCTTCTGCACACAGAAAATGATGTGTAGATCCCACTCAAGTTCACTCAGTGAGCTCCATGCTGAACAGAGATTTGAACATGGGTCTCACCATGCCTAGTCCAAAAACTTGTAGGCACAGCATTCTATTTGTTTAGCGCATTTCATCCTCCTAGAAGTTCAGGGAAGCCTGCATTATTTTCCCCTCCTCCATTTAACCTCACAACAACCCTTTTGAATGAGGCAGCAGACGTTCAGTCATTCTGCCCTCCCATGTACCGCTTCTCTCCCAGTGCCTGCTGTCAGATAATATTATTGGGCACATATATTCACCTGATATGAGGCATGGGGTTTGATGGTATCATCTATCCTGCCATTGACTGTTTTATTGCTTTTATTGTTTTATGGACTACATGCTGTAAGTCGCCCTGAACCCACATGTGGGATAGGGCGGGGTACAGGGTGGCTCAAATGGTTAAGACGCTGAACTACAGACCTGAAGGTCGGTAGTTCAGCAGTTCGAGACCCGAGTGCTAAATGACAGAGTGAGCTCCCGTCTCTGGTCCTAGATCCTGCCAACCTAGCAGTTTGAAAGCAAGAAATTGCAAGTAGATAAATCAGTACCACTTCGGTGAGAAGGTAACAGCATTCTGTGCACCTTGGTGTTTAGTCATGCTGGCCACATGACCACGGAAATGTCTTTGGACAGCGCCGGCTCTTCAGCTTGGAAATGGAGATGAGCACTGCATCCCTAGAGTCAGATTCAACTGGCTTTCAAGCAAGGGAAACCTTTACCTTTACTATAGATTGAATAAATAATAATAATAACCCTAAGACAGTGATGGTGAACCTTTTATAGACCATGTGCTCAAACTGCGACCCAAAACCCACTTATTTATCGCAAAGGGCCAACACGGCAATTTAATCTGAATACTGAGGTTTTACTTTAGAAAAAACAACTCATACATTAATTTAAGATGATCCAAACAAAGTAAGGAAAGCAATCCCAAATGCTTTCATTTACTTAAAATTATTTGGCAGAGAATACGACACTTTAATGAGGGTCTGGGCCTGGCTGGGGCAATGGCACCCGTGCCCACCGAGGGCTCTGAGTGCCACCTCTGGCACCCGTGCCATAGGTTCGCCACCACTGCCCTAAGAGGTAGGTTAAGCTGAGAGAACTATTGGTGCAAGGTCACCCAGTGAGCTTCCATGAAGAGTGGGGATTTGAACCTGATCTCCCAAATCACCTGCTGAAAAGTGTGCGTGTTAACTGCCATCAAGTCGCTTCCCACTCATGGAGACCCTATGAATCAATGACCTCCAAAATGTCAAGTGGTTAAGAACCCGGCTGAAATCTCGCAAACTGAGGAGGACCGCGGCTTCCTCGTTCCAGTCGATCCATCTCATGCTGGGTCATCTTCTTTTCCGGTGAGTTTTGTCTTCTCATAATGTGACCAAAGTAGGATAAGCCTCAGTTTAGTCATTTTAGTTTCTAGGGAGAGAGTTCAGGCTGAAAATTACTGGGAGGGACTGAGCAGCACCTTCCCCCTGCCCGTTTGTTTAAAACACGTTTTAACTGGCGCCTCTCTGGTGCGTGCCCGCCTGCAGCTGCTCCCCGTGCTGGGGTCGCGGCGACCAGGCAGGGCCCCCTGCTGCCCGCCGGCGGTGCATGCAGCTCCGGCAGGGGGAGAGAGAGAGAGAGGGCGGGCGGGCTTTCGCTTACGGAGGCGGCGCTGACTCAGCCTGGGCCGAAGGAAGCGCAGGGCAATGGCGCTGAGCCCCCCCGAGCGGCAGCCGGGCCCGCCTGAGCCCCCGCACCCGCCGCCTCCCCAGCAGCAGCAGCAGCAGCAAGAGGACGACGACGAGGCCGAGCTCGACCCCCAGCGGCTGAGCGGCCTGGAGACCGAGTCGGGCGGGATCCCGCTCCACTCGCCTTGGACCTTCTGGCTCGACAAGTGAGTGCGCGGGGAGACCGGATGGGGAAGGAGGAGGAGAGCGCGGGCAGCACCGGCCCGGCCCGGCTGTGGGTTTGCGCGCACCTGGAGTCAGGAGCCGCAGGCCTGGGGGGGGAGCGGGAAGCTGCTGCCCCTTAGGCCGGACCGGCAGGGGAGGAAAGCGGGACTGGCCTTCCTTTGTCCAGCCGGGCTCTTCTCCTCAGCCCTTCCCCCACACTGCCAATCCGCTGTTCTGTCAAGAGAGGAGAGAGGGAAAGATCGGAGCTCCGCTTCGCTCGCAATTCCAACCGGCACCAGCCCTTTCGCTCTTCCCGCATTGTGCCCTCCGATTCCCCCTCCATTCCCGATACTCGAGACGAGGCGGCTCTCTCCGCTTGACCTTCTCTTAGGTGTTCCGCTTCCTCCACCACCACCACCAACAACCCCCTTTCAGTTTCTTTCTGCATCGTGCCTCTTCCTTCCTATTTGCAAGGTTGAATTTGAGAAGATTGTTTAGCCCCGGCGCCTGTTTTCAATGGGGCGCAGCCTTTAGGACGCCAGTGGACTCAGCATGGAAACTAGTCGTGTTTCTGAACATGTGCTGAGTCTCCCCCACCAGCAGGAGTGATCTTGTGTCTTGCTTGGTAGGTAGAAATTCAACCAGTCTAGCTTTCCCCCCCCCCGGGGAGGGGAGCTGTTGATACTAATGAAAGGTTTATCTCTGCTGGGAAAAGACGAATGATTATGGGAATGCCCCATAATTATTAAAATTTACCATTATCTGTCTCACTGGGATTCTGCCATTGGCTGTACCCAAAAGAGGATTATTTATCTAGCTAACTATCTCTGGAAATACTTTAGCTGCTCTTTGGAAGCTTTGTCTCTAAGATATAAGCTCCCTAGGCTGAGAAAATGGAGTATTTCCACACACACTGTTTTTGGCCTGAAAGCAAACTAAGGATGTGTATTTGATTGGCATTGTGCCTCAGAATGCTTTATATATCCTCACAGTCTCATCCTGAACAGAGTTATGCTCTTCTAGCGTCATTGAAGTTAATGGGTTTAGAAGGGTATAGCTCTTCTTAGGATTGCACTCAGTTGTTATCACATTTCAGTGCATACTTCTAGGTGACATGGGGATTCTAACTTTTAATGGAAGAATTGTGTGGTAGTTAATCTGGATTAAACAAAGAAGTGATTTGTTTTACCTCTTTAAAAAGAAATTTCCAACTCAGCTTTCTATACAAAGCTCTTGGGGTGGCTTTAAAAATGTAGCAGTGATATGGTGTGTGTCTAAGTCATACATATGAATACAAAAAAGTGTTTCGCTAGAAAGATGGAACATGTCTCTAAAATTTCACCTACTGTTTATTTTCCAGCAGTTTTTAAAGCCGTGTGGTCTTCTTCCCAATATCTGTCACATTCCAGACCCACTCCTTCAGCCTTTCCAAAGTCAAACTGAGGATCTTTCTTCTTGTTCTTTTTCTAACCGTTGAATTCTTTATCCTCACTTTTCATAACTCCATGATCTCCTAACCTGCTCAGTCCAAATTCATAATAGGTGAAAGGCTTGTTTCCATTCATGGATCTGATTTTGTAATCTGAGGGGGGAAATGAGTCTTTGGGGCATAAGTGTCTTCCACCAATCAGCTAGGTGGGGCCCAAAATGTTGTTAAAGTTACTTACATTTTATTACCACCTTTCCTCCCAAAGGATTTAGCAAAACAAAATGCTGAGGGCCATACTAGATGTGGGGCAGCTCATACCTTCCCACATCCCCTCTCACTGACTCACCCAGCTGAGGTAACTTCTAGTACTATAGCCTGGATAAGGGGAAAAGTGCTTGGGAGGAAAACTGTTCAGGGGAAGGGTTCTGCGCTCTCACCTGGGCTCCCTTTTTCCTGTTAAAGTGCAACTGCCCAGACACTTATTTTGTGTTTAAACACAAGAAGCTGTCACTATCCTGGCTCACTGTAAACAAAACTAATCTCAGCCAAATCTGAATTGTAGTGTAGCCATCTTGTGTCAGTTATTTTGCTACATGCATGACAGCTTGTTGTGGAATAAAGGAAGACACCAGTAAGTCATAAAACTGAAAAGTGAGATGATTTAGGCCAGCTCCTGCTCCTAATGTGATGCAGAATACATCATGCTTCAGCCCATCTGCATTTTAATCCGAAACTACCAAGCAGACAGCAGAAACAAGAAAGAAATCCCCACAGTTAGAGGTACCTGCGTGTAAGGAATAGTTCAGGGTGAAAAAAAACCCAGAAGGCTTCAGGAAGCTTCACAAGCTGCAAAGGAAGCCATGACATAGAATCACAGAGGTGGAAGGGGCCATACAGGCCATCTAGTCCAAACCCCTGCTCAATGCAGGATCAGCCTAGACATGTCTTGGGTCACTCTTTGCCAGTGAAACTGTGCTTCCAGTGTCATGGTTAGGACTTTAGCATGAAATAAACCTCTTTTGTGAACATCACTAGAGAGATCTGGGCTTTCTAACATGAAGCCATAGTTTCTGATTTCCACCCACGTCTGATTTCCACCGAGGAAAACCTGTATTGTACTATACAACAGGAGTATTGTTGTTCAGTCGCACAGTCGAGTCCAACTCTTCGCAACCCCATGGACCACATCACGCCAGGCCATCCTGTTTTCCATCGTGCTCCGGAGTTCGCTTAACTTCATGTTCAGGAGTAGATTATGTAAAATGGGGGAATATGTGTAAACTTATTTTATCTGTATACATTCTGATTTTTCAGTTTGCTAGAGTAAAATGTTTTGGAGTAGTGAACTGGGAAAGAAACTCTAAAATCTGTACCCCTCTCACTGCCTAAGCATTTGGCAAAAACTGAGGGTTTTTTACATCCCCCATAACAAAAGAGCTCGAAACTTGGTCCTTTTTTAACAAGCAAGAGCACTTGTTCTTGAATGTCCATAGCTGCTATCAAATTCAGTGTTAGGGCTCCTGTTTCATGCTACATTGTGTGATTATAGCCATGGAGCTGTTTAAATTCTCCAGACCTTATGTTTCAGTGGCACAGGCTTCACTACATTTGGCCTTCACAAACTGGAGTGTGTGGGGCTCCTGCCAATGAAAGTCATATGTTTCAGCTGTCAGTACTAAGTGCAAAAAGTGGAAAGTCCCTCACTCGACTTGTGCCTAGTTTGAGTACTACTGTACTGGAACAGTCTGTTATGAGCCTGCTAGCCTTTCCATCCATAGCCTGATTTACTTGCGAGTCCCATTTTTAAAGAAACAAAATTCTAAAGCAAGTTCTATTCTATCAGAAACTTTACCTTATTATTATGGCCATTGTCCTGAGAGCTACTTAGGGCAGCTTAACTCTCCTTGAGTAATTTGAATTGTTCTAATAATTGGAAGCGTGAACCGTAGCAGGGTAAGAGTCATGAGCCAGTTTCCCCCTCCTGGATTTCAAATCTAACCCCAAAGTTAGATAATTTCCAGGATGGAATAGGTTTTTAAAAAATATTTTAATAGGTAGACACAGAAGTCATGGCCAAACTTTGCAGTGATTCCAGCAGCCTACATTTGAGGAATGTGAAAACATAACAAGATCAGACCAAAGGCCAATTAAATCCCATAGTCTACTTTGAGCACTTTTGTTACTTTTGAAGGTAACAGAAGAAGGGGATAGCAAAGGATGAGATGGTTAGACAGTGTTACCGATTCAACAAACATGAAATTGAGCAAACTCCAGAGGATAGCGGAAGACAGAAGGGCCTGGCATGATATGGTCCATGGGGTCACAAAGAGTCGGACTCGACTGTGCGACTGAACAACACTACTTTGAGCAATGACCAGTCAGATGCCTTTATTAAGTTTAAAACCAAGCCAGGAAAGACACAACTTTAGTCTGCAGTTGAGAGTGTCCTCAGTATCAAATTGATTCATTGGACCTGTAATGATTGTTTCAGATGACTATCAACAAGCTTAGCCGTAGTGGCATAAGGTACTTGGAACTGTGGGGATGAATCTTACAACTCCTTCCCATTTATGGAGCAGTGGAAGAGGGTCTTCTGCCGAAGAAAGGTTTCTTGTACCGGAGGGAAGCTCTTTGAAAGAGGCTAATGGATTCTCTGGTTCCATCCATGATCAATTCTAGTGCTTAAAATAAACATTACCATTGAGAAATAATTCTTGCCTTAACCAGTCAGTTGTTGTGAAACAGACTGACTGCTAACTATACCTGTCTTTTGTAAGAGGAGCCTTCACAAGATGAAGCGAGATGCAAAGGACAAACCCGTTCCAATAGCTAAACTGGTGGATAGCTGCATGGTTTCGATAGAAAATCAGAAAGTCATAGGAAATGCTTTTATTCATGTATACGGTAACATGAGATGTATAGATAATAAATTGAAATAGTCAGGACTCAGGAGGCTGATGATGAGGTTCAGATAATGTAGGTTCTTAAAGTAAACATGTAAATGAGCATACGTGTCAACAGTATGCATAAAGCTTGGGTTGTGCTACTAAGAGTGCCATCCTGAGCACATCCTAAGTGTCTGATGAATGAAGCGTTGACTCTTGAATGCTCATTCCCCACACACACACACACACCAAATCTTATTGGTCTCAAAAGTGCTACTGGACTGGAACCTAGCTGTTCTGCTGCACACCAGAACAGCTACCCTGTGAAACTATTCTAAATGCAGTTACAGCATTCTGCGCCCATTGGCTTCAGTAGACTTAGAAAGGTATAACTTTGCTTATAACTGACTGTGGGAAATTTTGCCTCTACGTTGTATGCAGTAGCTGGTTACAGGAGAGTAGAGTCTATTGGAGGGAAGGAACACACACCGTGGTCATGATGACTTCCTGTGGAATGCTTTGTCTGCATTGTGTGGCAACATGATATCATGCAGCAATGTGGATAGCACGATAAATGTCAGAAGAAGCAGTGGGGTTTTTAAATCAGTACGCAGTTATGTTATTATTTTTCTAACACCATAGCTGTCACTTTAAAAAAAAAATCATGTAATCTTTTCTTACTACGCTT